AGACCACGAGAACCCCCATGCGTTTTTAGACTCTTACAGGCGCATTATATAATGATATAATTAAAAAGGCGGGGTTCGACCCTTTTCAGTCAGATAAAAGCGGATGAAATTTCTCTCCACCCTGGAATTGAACTTGGGTCATCTATGTGCGACGGCGAAGCGCCTTACCGCCTGCAACTTTAGAATACATTGTCTTTCTACGACCGGACCAGTCTAATGGGTGAACAGACATGGGAACGACTGGCATAATTAATTTATTAAGAAGCCCCATTGAGAATTCAAACCATAGGGCAATTCAAATATTGGCCCAGCATGGTTTCAACATAGCTAAGAACGCTCCTCATTATCATATTATATGGAATAATAATATTATGTGGATTTCCTGTGATCGTGCACATGAAAGATTATGAAAGTCAGCTTACAGAATTTATGCACGTATTAAATTGACATGTCAGGACCAATCCCTTTCTCCAGCCACATTCACGGAGCGTTACGAAGCAGCAGACGTGAACATCTCTCTCAGGACCTACGCGCACCGGAAGCTCGACCGCATCCTGGTTGTGGAGCTTGAGATGTCACGTGACGACCCATCACAAGAAGTCAGCGCCACAGTCAGCCTGGACCAAGGACCTATCAGTGTTGATACCGACTTTATAGGGGAATCAGAAGGGTGAGTTTCATTTCGACGGTTCAGTTTAAGAAACCTGTATACCACATTTTTAAAAATCGATTTTTTCTCGTGGCTGCAGATGTTTTTCATCACAAGAGTCTATCTTTTCGATTTGAGGATCAGACTGTAAATAATTTATTTTCAGTCTGATCCTCATATCGAAAAGATATGCGGCAACCAAAACGCAAAAAAGTCGATTTGAGTGTGTGTACGTGTGTGTGTGTGTGTGTGTGTGTGTGTGTGTGTGTGTGTGTGAATCACCTGGAACCCAATTTGCAACGTGGGTCAATTCTGTGATCCATTTTTGAATTGTGTGTGTATGTGTGTCAGTTTATGTGTGTGTGTGTGTGTGTGTGTGTGTGTGTGTGTGTGTGTGTGTGTGTGTGTAAATGAGTTTCCAAAGGTTAGATTAGGAAGACCTTCAACAGTTATATTATGTTAAAGTGACGAGTGATGTATGAGTTATTCCGAGAAAAATGTTGACGAAAAAAATGAATGAATCTGAAATGTTTCTGAAACTGAATACATTCGTTTAACAATTAATGCACATCAAAATTTGGAACACCTAATTTATTGCTATACTTGTCTCATTTAGTGCCTTTCTATTCTTTTAAATTATGAAAAAATAAATCCTACTTATTCCCAGCGTCAAGCATTTCAGGACAAAGGAAGCAGAGTTTGAAGAAATAGCACCGAGGACTGACTTTTATGTGAAAGCTTCACGTTTTCTGAGGGTAAGACACCAAGACATCAGCATCAGCGCCTCCTTTTACACTCTCCTCCTTTTTCTCATCCTCCTCCTCCTCCTGCTGCTCCTCCTTCTTATCATCATCGTCAGCAGCATTGTAGTCTGCTAAAAGACGAAAAACGGTGGCGACTTGTAAGATTATTTTTTTTTATACGTCCAACGAATCGCAATCTGAGGGCTTCATCATCATCATCATCATCATCATCATCATCATCATCATCATCATCATCATCATCATCATCATCATCATCAATGAAAGGCGATAAAATGAGAAGATCCGATAACATGGAGAGAATCGTTAAACCTCGCTTTTATTTTTTAGATAACCTGAAACATCAGGCAATGCTAGTCGAAATTTTCCGTTCACTAATTATTTATTTCTTTATTTTAATTAGGGGGAAGACGAATGCGTACAGAAAAAATCCCCATAAAATAATATTTCCCTGCTCCTTTTTCGTGCATTGAATCTGACAGTTCACAAATGGTTAATTCATTTTTTTTATCCTCACAAGAAGAGACACACGGACAAACACACACCCACACACACACACACACACACACACA